GTCCATTTTGGTTCATTTTGATGGTTCCAAAGAAGCAAGTCTTCCTGCTTCAAGGTCATCTGCAATTCTAACTCTCATATTTGTTTTCGACTGTTTCTTTGAACATGGCTCCAGATCTTTCTTTCAAAGAGTTTTGTCCCTTTAATTGAAAAAAGTGTCACACACACAGATATTTTCGCATTTATTACGTACGAAGACGTTTACATTGTATTCGTCATACAATTTTATGTCCATTACTCCCGCCTCTTACATACGGTGAAACACCGGATCACCGAAGTTAAGCAGTATCGAGCCTGGTGATGCCTAGATGGGTGACCGTTTGGGAATACCAGGTGCTGTAAGCTCGGATGTGCGGGTCGTGTAGTGATTAATGTCTCGGAATTGTTAATCGGAGAGTCGAGTTTCGATTTCAAGTTGGGTTTATTATATTCACTTGCGCGCAAATAACCTTGGAAAATGTATAAATCCACCTCTTCCGCCCCCAGATATGGATTAATTAGTAAGACTTGTATTACTAAATCCTTATATACCCCCACCCCGAATTTTTTTTTTACAATCAAAAGACCGTAGAAAACAAATCAATCAAATATATGTTGTGGACCCAGAATACGTCCGAAAGAAATCTCAGCAATTTAGTGAAAAAAAAATTTAAACAAAAAGAACGAATACAAAAGTGTTGCACGTCCGATTGACGGCAAAGTACAGTAGTCAACTCGTTAACTGTAGACAGCGATATTTATTTACCCCCACCCCCCACGAGAGTTACATGTGGCACAAGGCCGCTTTAACGTGGGATCTCCGAGCCCGTAGGCTCGGCCAAAAATAATCCCTCTTTGAACCTGCATAAACGGGTTCAGGGGCAGTCAACCTCCCCGAACGAGAGTCTGCCCTTCGGCGGAGCCTCGTTCGGGTTCCTCTCCGCCCGAAGGCAGAGAATTCGAATGTTTAGTTGGAACAGGTCAACAGGACAGCGATATTTAGTTACCCCCCCACCCACACACACACGAGGGTTACATGTGACACAAGGCTGGGTTTAACGTGGGATCTCCGAGACCGTAGGCTCGGCCAAAAATAATCCCTCTTTCAATCCACATAAACGGGTTCTTTTTTATCTTAATTTTAAGTGGGCTTATTAAACTAGACGCTGTAAGGTAGCAGCGAGACGACGTGTATCTGCCAAGCCACTCGTTGCCGTGAATGTCTTGTTTATAGCCCACTCGCCTCTCATGTAAGCGGGCGAGTCTACTTATGGTGTGACGCCAAGACCATTCCGGTCTTGTAACTGGGCGTCTTAGGTTCGATTCCACCTCTACACGCCCCTCCCTTCCGGGGCCATAAGATACTTGCATTGTGGTCCAATGTTTTGAGGCTCTGGAGTAGTCAAAGTGACGTGCCCCACGTCTGTGGGGATAGGTTCCTGGGTGGTCGCGTCACCCTTCTGCCATGACGCCCCGGTTGGTCTTCCTCAACCTCCATCATTCCAGGGGATGCTGTGTCATCTACCTCCATCGGTTCTGGTAGAGTGTCGGATGTTTCGGGCTGGTTTTGATCCATATCAGTGGTGGACCATTCTCCCGGTATTTCGGGCCCTGTTGGGTTGTCTATGGTATCCAACATTCCTGGGGGCACCCCCAGGTATCGAGTGGCAAGGAGTATCTACTACTGGGTTTATTTTTCGGAGGTATCTGCGATTGCGACGAGTTACCCGGTTACTCCCATCCATGCGTACATTATACTGCCGGTTACCCAGTGTTTCCACCACCCTTCCTGTCTTTGCCCATCGGCGCGGGTATGGACCAACTTGGTTCTGTATCTGCACCGTTTCCCCTGATTTTCAGTTCCTGAAGTGGGTGACTTTTTAGATTGTATTCTCTTTCATTCCTTGAGATGTCTTTTTGCCATCGCTGTTTTTCTATAATGACCGATTTTCTCCAGCGTTTGTGGATTCGATATCGGTCCTGGAGCACTGGGAGATGGTCCTTTATCACGCGACCGTAGAGCATCATCGCTGGAGACATATGTAGGTCTCGTACCGGGGTGTTGCGATGAGTCAGTAGGGACCTAGCTGCCTGGTCATGGCATAGGCGACTGCAACTGTCCGTGCTATCAACAAGTATCCTTTTAGCCGTTTTAACGGCCAGTTCTGCTCTCCCGTTGCTTTGAGGGTAATATGCCGATGATTCAATAGAGTTGTCCCATAGTATCGTATCGTCAATACATCTTGTTTTCCTGGGCATATCTACAGTAATATTGTCGAACCTGCGTGTATATGCGTTTCCTGACGCTTGGAACTTTGTGGTGCCCGAAGATAACGGTATCTACCCCATTCCGTGATGAAGGTAGTTGCATCTCTTGCCGATGGAGAGAGGGTTAGGCTATGCGATAGCCATTCCATGCATCCAAAACGGTTTTTCTAGGTTTTCGCAGGCACCAGCGATGCCTGATTGAAAGGAGACGGTGTATGATGGGTTTCCCGTAGGGTAGCGGTGTTGAGTTTGTAGGTCCACCGTACGCCTCGGTGACCTGTCCTTTTTCGGTGCAACCACCATTCTGGAGCACCATGTTGTAGGTGTACCCACTGGTACAGGTTCTACGATGCCCAATGCCACGTCTCGGTCGAGGTCCTCCTGACTCTTTTCTTCCAATGGTGTGGGACCGGGATTGGGGTGTGGACAGCTGAGGGTTTGGCCCCGGGATGAATGTGATGTCCATGGGTTTTTCCTTCCATCGCCTGCAGCCGTTGATGTGGGCATACATTGAATGCACTGGACTCAAAATGCTCCTTCATCCATCGTTCCAATCGGGGTCTGTTTTCTTCCATAGGAGCGAAAGGGATACTGTCCGGCTTAGGTGGGACATTAGTTCTTTGTGGGCACCCACATGGTGCCTTTCCGCCGTCGCTAGTTGCCACGTTCTGCTGGGAAGTTGGGTCTGAAAGTTATCTGGCACCAGACCAAGGTCTTTTAGGGCCGACTCGGACAGGCAGAAATCTGATGTATTTTTTGATACATATATAATCTGACGTGTTTCCCATGATCCTACTCTGACTTTAGCGAATATCACGCCTTTTATGTTTAGTAGGTTATCCGTGATTCCCGAATTCGGTGACTAGTCGGTACTAGACATTTGTCTGGACACTTCAGAATTTTTTGGATTTCTGGTCCGCTAGAGCATGTCTGTGCCCCAGTGTCTGCGATCGCCTCGATCCGGTGAGTATGGAGGCCAGCTTTCCTATGGATATGTGCCCGAATTCTGCATGGGCCTCTGGAATCAGAGTTATCTCTACCATCAGGGTTGGTGCTGGATCAGGAGTACCTCTTCGGAACTTACTTTTGTTCCAAATCAGGTGCGGCACGGCCTTTGGTTTTGTTCAGGTTGATTTCACCTCTCCTTTTCACTTGTCCATCTTGGACGATCACCCGGTTACGACCCTTCTTGTGTCTTTGGGTGGTGAGAGTTCTGGATTCTGCTCCGACCACACCTGCTGTAGATTTGTTGCTGGACCCCTGCTTCGGTTTCCTGCAAACCCCTTTTAAATGTCCGGTTGCCGCATTGTGACAAGTCATTTTTGCTGCTGGGCAACCCTTTCGTTCATTCGAGCCGTCAGGGTGTGAGCTCTTCCCACACCATTTACAGGGTTCAGTGTCTCTCTGGGGTTTGATACGGTCTGGTTCTCCTGAGGCTGCTGCCTGCGGCCCAATCTCTGTGTGCTCGTTGTAGTAGGGTATACGTTACTATGGAGATGGGGGGTAGACTTGTCCGTGGTCTCTAGGCTGATAAGCCTGTTGAATTTTTCTTCCAGTGTCGTAAGTGTCGCAGCCTCAGACAACACCTTGCTTTGATGCTCCAGGCTTGCCAGCCCAGCCACCATTTGTCTTGCTACCATATCGTTGAGTAGCTGACTTTCCGACCGCATCCTATCCTGTTCGGACAAGTCACTGAAAAGTCGCAGAATTTTGCGACTGATCGAAGTCGTGCCACGAAGTCCGTAATCGATTCCCCTCCTTCTGCCTTACGGAGTGGAATTGCCGGTACACTCCCTTTTTGTGTAGATTTTGACGGCTACGAGCTTTATGTGCCGTAACAGCTGTTCCTCCGTGACGGAGTTTAGTACTTCTGCTCCTACCATATCGAACAACAGCCTGTTCACTTCTGGGGCACAGGCCGTTCTCAGCTCGTTTCTAACGCTGTTGGCTCCGTCAACCCACATCTCCTTGTATCTATTCCAGGAGTCAATGAATATCGCCCAGTCACCATCACTTGAGTCCGGTTCTATATTAGGTCTGTCGGGTCTCCTTGTAAGTGACTTTCTCGGCTGTCCTCCGTCTCTTCGCAGGGCGATGATCTCTTGCTGTAGCTCGATGAGCTGTTGAAGTAATGTCTGCTGTGTTTGTTCGTCCATATTCCAACGTTGTTTGTAGCAGGTTTCCTATATCGGCGACGCCATGTAAGGTAGCAGCGAGACGACGTGTATCTGCCTCGATCCTCGTTGCCGTGAATGTCTTGTTTAAGTAGCCCACTCTCGCCTCTCATGTAAGCGGGCGAGTCTACTTCTATGGGGGTGTGACGCCAAGACCATTCCGGTCTTGTAACTGGGCGTCTTAGGTTCGATTCCACCTCTACAGACGCTAACAGGATATTCAACATTATTGGCAATGACATGTTCTTATTATAAAGTGACTTTTTTTTATACCTTTTGAGTATAATTTTGCGGGTTTTTATCTGAAGAACTTTTCAGATAACTCTTTAATCTGCTTTTCATTACAGAGGGTTTTCCCTATCAAAGCGTTTTGCAGCGATCGATAAACGTAATAATCGATTGGTGCAGAAACAGGAGATTATGGCGTGTTGGGTAAAACAGAATAATAGACTTTGAGTTTTTTTTTCCCTGTGTCGTTCTATCTGTACACGTAGTAATAGAAAAAAAAATTTTTCCTATTGATGATCGCAAGGCGCATTTCGACCAAATTTTTATGCTTGACTTATAAATCTGCATTTAGTGTTCCGTTACACTTCTTCTTCTTCTTCTTCTTCTTCTTCTTCTTCTTCTTCTTCTTCGTGCCTTTTCCTTTTCAGTACGTTTCGGCCTTCTTCAGGTGATATCCCGGTGGAATTTAAAACCGAAACTTTTAAGACACAGAAAAACAAAAACAAAAACAAAAAAACAAAGCAAAACAAAAAAGAGAAAGAAGAAAAAACAAAACAGAAAAAAAAAGAAACAAAACAGAAAAAAAAAGAAAAACACAAAACAGAAAAAAACAAAACAGAAAAAAAACAGAAAAAAGCAAAACAGAAAAAACCCAAAACAAAACAGAAAAAAACAAAGCAGAGAAAAGACAAAAAAAAAAACAAAACAAAAAAAAAACAGAAAAAAAACAAAACAGAAAAAAAAACAAAACAGGAAGAAAAAACAAAACAGAAAAAAACCAAAACAAAACAGAAAAAAAAAACAGAAAGAAAAAACAAAACAGAAAAGAAAACAAAGCAGAAAAACCCAGACTAATGGTAAATAATAATAGCCATAAAAAACGAAGCCAACTCTTGAATAAACAATTGAACTAGGTTTATAAAGAACTTAAAGAAAAATATTGTAGGGAGTTAAAGCTGCAGATTGATTGATAGTATCCCAGAATACATTACTTCATTTCATCGTCTGAGTCGTATTACCTTCTCATTTATCTCTTCACCTGCATATAGAATTCTGTGTTTGTCATTGACGAAATCTCCATTGTTTACAGTACCTAGTTTCGTATCCGCGCCTAAAATAATAGCATCTAACCGCTTCATTTATTGCTTTGTATTGTGGCTTAATCTATAGTAATCTGAAAAAAAGAAAGAAAAAGAAACATGAATGGAATATTACTGGTTGCATTATCGACTGTATAGCTTAAAATTAATCCACATTTGATAACAGTATAAAAAAAGTAGATATTGAAAAGAAACCTTAGAACTACAAGATAAAAAAAAACTCATCAAAACTCGCTTTAGTTTTAAAAAGACATTGTACAAAGCCGAAAGCATAAAAAGTAGGAATAGCTATATATATATATATATATATATATATATATATATATATATATATATATAAAGAAAAAATGAAGTGAAGCCAACTTTTGAATAAACAATTGAAGTAGGTTTATAAAGGACTTAAAGAAAACAATCCATGACGTTTCGGCTTTTGTACTCTCCGGGCTTCTTCAGGTGGAATTTCGAACTGAACCATTTAAGACACACACAGAAAAAAAAAAAGATTAATGGCAACTAATAACCCAAACGTGGGATCCATGAAACTTAACAAAATTGTGAATATAATCCCAACTATTTACCATATATACTCATGTAACAGTCGACTTTATGTATAGTGCTATCCTAGAATAATTTCGCATGAATTTTAATTCCTTCAGAAAAAAATATTTGTGTATAGTGCAACATTGTGACCATAATCCCGGCTATTTACCATATATACTCGTGTAAAAGTCGACTTCATGTATAGTGCTATCCTAGAATAATTTCGCATTAATTTTAATTCCTTCAGGAAGAAAATATTTGTGTATAGTGCAACCAATCACCGAAAATGCATTATTTTTAAATCCCTTAAAAAAAAAAAAATTTTATATTGTCCGACGTTCTATTTTCTTGATTTCGTAAAGAATTTCGTATTTTGTAAATAAACAATAAAATTAATCGACACAAAATGGCTGTCCATATTTCTGAGATGTGGTATTGTAATTATTTACACTATTTACATTGTTCGGACTATTCTCCTCATCTTCGTTGCCATATTCACGTCGTTTCGGCCGTTGTGCGCCCCCGGCTTTCTTCAGGTGATTGGAATTTTGAACTGAATCTTTCATTTCGTCCACCGACGGAGACTGTTCTAGTTCCAGGTGTCACATCTCTTCCGGGTGTCTCAGCATCAGTTATCTCCCTTTAACTCAATTCTCCACACCGTTTGCACAAGATAGTTAGGTAGCTTATGTGCTGTTTTCCTCTGCCCATTTTACATTCAATATGTCCTGTGGGTGTCAAGTTTTCCAAGCACTCTTTCCTCATTATGTTCCCGATGAAATTTCGACTGTCTCGTTTGGATGTATCTTTTTGTTCTCGTTTTCTCTAAAACTCCGTTGTTGCTCATATGTTTAGATTATTTGTATTCTCAGCATCCATCTGTAGAACCATATTTCTGTTGCCTCAAGTCCTTTTTTCATGCGTGAGGAGATTGCCCAGACGGCCGATATTACATGATTGTTTAGTAATCGAGTCGCAGTCATCGTAAATTAACGATCGCCGGGCGCTTTGCGGCCATAGTTTTTATGGACACATTGTAGCGGTTTGACATATAAATGTTTTCTTACATTTCTTCTTCTTCTTCTTCTTCTTCTTCTTCTTCTTCTTCTTCTTCTCTGTGTCTTGTACCTGCAGGATGCGCACCATCAATTGTATCTTCTTCATTCTAAGAATAAGTGCCCATTTTTTCCCGTTTTCTCTAGAACTTTATTGTTGCTCACGTGTTCGGTCAGTAGTAGCCTCAAGATGAAAAGGAAGCTGAGATTACATTTCTGGTGCTTCAAGTCTCTTCTTCATCTTTGAGGATATTGTCCAGTATTCACTGCCATACAGGAGGATTGATATTACGTAACATTTCAGTACACTTTTCTTTCTGTTGCTTTGTTATATACACCTATTCTATAGTTAATAGACTCTCTCACCTATAATAAGTAGGAGTAGTAAGAGTAAGGAGTCGGTCAGTCAGTCGACTGGCTGATCGGTTGAACTCTTTGCGGAGAGGAACCCGAAGGAGGCTACGCCGAAGGGCGGATTCTCTTTCGGGGAGGTAAACCGACCCTGAACCCGTTTATACGGGTTCAATGGGCATATTTTTGGCCGAGCCCACGTTAAAAAGGCCTTGTGCCACATGACGCGCTTGTGGGAGGGGTGACATAATATCGTCAGTCAGTCGATGTCGGACGACAGTCGAATACGAAAGTATCAGCGACCACAACTAGATTACTCTGCGTAATGCGTATTATATCAAGTTCCTAACGTTTTGTACATCGAAACTATTTTAGGACTGACTCAGTACAAATACAATCCTCCACTGCGAAATAACTCCACAACATGCTTCAAGTCACTTCTTCATTTGTGAGTAGATTTTCCAGTATTCACTGTCATATAAAAGGATTGATATTACGTAACATTTCAGTCCACTTTTCTTTCTGTTGCTTCAAGTTTCTTCTTCATTTGGGAGTAGATTGTTCAACATTCAGTCATATAGGAGGATTGATATTACGTAACAGTTCAGTAATCAAGTCACAGTCATCATATATGCATGCTAAAAGCCAAAATTTGCACTGAGTGAACAGGTTTAAATTGCGCTTGAATTCTCTTAATTACGACTTTTTCTTCGTTCATTTAATAGATTCCGTGTGTGAGCGCAACGAAGCTGAAATATGCTCCACTACATATGAATTCACATTCAATAAGAACGGAACACGCAGGCGCACGCTCGACCAATCAAGGAACAGAATTTAGTGTCATGCAAAATTTCCAAGATGAAATCTTAAAAACATGTGTATGTGTGGTCTTTTCTTTTTAATATACAAGCTGTTATGCTTTTAACTTTCGCAGGAACTATTAACTCCCCTCCCAAAACACGCACACACATACACACACACCCATAATGGGTGCATTTGAGAAAAAAAACAATATGGCAACAACAAATGACATGAGAAAACCCGATTGAAAGAAAAAAAAAATGAAAAACGATATAGCGTGTGAAGACGTGAGATTTGAAAAAAGCTGAGAATGACAGAGCACAAAAAAACAAAATCTCTTTAATAAAGCCGAAAGTAATAATACATAGGAGAATTAAGATTTAAACTTTCATTGAAAACGAAAAAAATAATCCAAAATGTAGAAAAATAAACATTCTTAAAATACTTTCGTTGGTCTTTATCAAGTAATATATATATATATATATATATATATATATATATATATATATATATATATATATATATATTGAAGTCAACATTTTAACAGGTTGTTTCATGCTAGACGCAATCGTCAGGCCTGACGATTGCATCTAGCATGAAACAGCCTGTTGCCTCAAAGTGTTGACTTCAATGTTCACCTTCATATTTACACACACACTATCTCTGATATTGAGTACTTTATCCCCTAAATATAGCACACCTTAAGAGTATATTTCTTCATAATTATATATATATATATATATATATATATATATGTCGTGTAATTTATTGGGGTTGTTGTAACGTCTTCCTTAATGTAGTTCTTATCGCTCACCCCTTAACCACCTTTATCTAGAGACGAGACGCGTTAAATTTGAGCAGCATCCAGCCGACACACTGGGGTTAAAATAGGAAACTAAAATGATACATATGACACACTCATATCCTCTCTCCCACCTCACTTCCTCACTTCGTTAACTTTGCGTATACTTGATGAGGCCCGTAAAAAAACGTGTGAATTTCTTTTCATTTTCATTTCAGCTTTTTGAAGTAAAGTCTGATGATCCAGAACCCTGTTAAAGGGGTTATCGTGAAATAGCTTATTGCATGGAATCTTAACGTGGTCTGTCTTTTATAAAAATATATATATATATATATATATATATATATATATATATATATATATATGTAAACATCTTTAAATGCTGGTGTTTTTTTTTTTTTTTTTTAACTTGATAGTTCTTTTTCTGTCTTTTTCTTTCTTTAATTTTCTTTCTTTCTTTCTTGGTGTCAGAATTTTCCCACGACCCCTACGAAATATTTGCGGGATACTGCACACCGGTCAGTGTGACTTCATTTGGACCCCACCTACACAGCACTTATTGACCTTAGTTTTTTCTTCCGTCCTTTTCACATATCCTTTTATATCTGTTCCAACATTTTACTCTCATCTTGCCTTTTTACTTTGCCAACATTCCTTTTGCTTCTTTTTGCTTTCTTTTTCCTTTTTCTCATTTTTCCATTTTCTCTCTTTTCATCATTAATCGTTACTTTCTTTCTTGCGATGGGACTTCCTCGCATTCTTTCTTTCTTTCTTTCTTTGTCACCCTCATTCTTTCTTACTTGTGTGTATTTCTTTCTTTATGAATCACTTTCTCTAGAATATTTTCTTTCTTTGTGACTCCCTTCTTTCTTTCTTTCTTTCTTTCTTTGTGGCTCACCTTGTGTGTTACTTTCTTTTTTCTTTGTTAGTTCTCCTTTCTTTCTTTCTTTCTTTCTTTCTTTTCTTCTTTCTTTGACTCATTTTCTGTTTTTTCTTTTTCATTGTCAGTTCTTTCTTACTTATTTTTTGTTGTGACTACCTTTTTTCTTTCTTTCTTTGTGAATATTTTTGTTTGTTTCCTTTTTCTTCGTGAATTCTTTCTTTCTTTCTTTCTTTCTTTCTTTCTTTTAGTTTCTCTTCCTGAAACGTTGTTTACTGTTTTCTTTATTTCTTTCATTCTTTTAACTTCTAAATCCTTTATGTTATCCATTTCTTTCTTTCTTTCTTTCTTTCTTTCTTTCTTTCTTTGACTCATTTTGTGTGTGTTTTTCTTTTTCATTGTCAATATATAAGAGAAAGAGAGAGATATATATATAGACATAGATATAAAATAAATGCGAATGTCAGTGACACATTTTTAACTTTACTTCTAGAGACCATAGCCCAACATATCATACCATTTTGGAATCAGGCCGACTTCATGAGCAAATTAAAAACATTCCAGGTTAGATCTGGAATTTATGTGATATTGTGATTCTTTTCCGCTGTAAATAACGATATATTAGGTAAAAAAAATGCTACCGTTGCATTTTCTGTTTCTTAGATTCATCTTATGGTTGTAGTAGTGTTTTTCCATTCACCCTCGGTGGCTCCAATGTAGTATTTGATTTCGCTTCATTAACGCTCATAAACTACATCGTTTACCGAAGACGCTCCGTTCAAAGGATATTCATCTTTTATTCTACAATTATATCAGTGGGCTCTACCATTTTTCTATTATGGTTTACCATATTTTTTCTATAATGTCAGTGTAGCTATAGCTCACCTTCAAATTCTTCTGTTGAATAGCTTTTTGAACTTTGGTGACTTACTGAAATGTTTAACAATTAACTTTAAAAACACTTTTAACGCGTTATTTTAAACGTTGATATTCTAAGGAGTTAAAGCTGCAGATTGATTGATAGTATCCCAGAATACATTTCTTCATTTCATCGTCTGAGTCGTATTACCTACTCATTTATCTCTTCACCTGCATATAGAATTCTGTGTTTGTCATTGACGAAATCTCCATTGTTTACAGTACCTAGTTTCGTATCCGCGCCTAAAATAATAGCATCTAACCGCTTCATTTATTGCTTTGTATTGTGGCTTAATCTATAGTAATCTGAAAAAAAGAAAGAAAAAGAAACATGAATGGAATATTACTGGTTGCATTATCGACTGTATAGCTTAAAATTAATCCACATTTGATAACAGTATAAAAAAGTAGATATTGAAAAGAAACCTTAGAACTACAAGATAAAAAAAACTCATCAAAACTCGAAAGCATAAAAAGTAGGAATAGCTATAAATATATATATATATATATATATATATATATATATATATGAAGAAAAAAATGAGGCGAAGCCAACATTTTTTGAATAAACAATTGAAGTAGGTTTATGAAGGACAAATAAAACAAACCATGACGTTTCGGATTTTGTACTCTCCGGCCTTCTTCAGGTGGAATTTCGAACTGAACCATTTAAAACACACACAGCAAAAAAAAGACTAATGGCAACTAATAACCCAAACGTGGGATCCATGAAACTTAACAAAATTGTGACTATAATCCCAACTATTTACCATATATACTCATGTAACAGTCGACTTTATGTATAGTGCTATCCTAGAATAATTTCGCATGAATTTTAATTCCTTCAGAAAAAAAATATTTGTGTATAGTGCAACATTGTGACCATAATCCCGGCTATGTACCAAAGATACTCGTGTAAAAGTCGACTTCATGTATAGCGCGCCTCCTGGATATTTTCACATTAATTTTAATTCCTTCAGAAAAAATTTATCTGTGTATAGTGCAAACAGTCACAGAAAATGCATGTTTTTTAATTTCTACAAAAAATTATCTATGTATCGTGCAACCTCTTATTTTCTTGATTTCGCAATTTGTAAAAGTTAATCATTAATATTAATCGAGACAAAATGTCTGTCTATATTTCTGAGATGAGTTATTGTAATTATTTACACTACATTGTCTGGACTATTGTTCTCATCTTCGTTGTCATATTCACGGCATTTCGGCCGTTGTACGCTCCGGCCTTCGTCAGGTCATTGGAATTTCGAACTGAACCCTCTATTTCGTCCAGATTGTTCGAGTTCCACGTGCCGTGCCTCTTCCGGGTGTCTCAGTATGAGTTATCTCCCTTTAACTCAACTCACCAAGTTTTTGTTCATCTCTGCTGTAGCCAGGTACTGAAATCACAACTCTTTGGATTAAGTCACTGGATTACTTTAACCAACGTTTTTTATCCACTGGGCCATATATCACCTGAAGAAGGTCGGAGCGCACAACAGCCAAAACGTCGTGAATATGACAATAAAGATGACGACAACACTCCGACTAATGTAAATAGTGTAAATAGTTAAGATACCTAATCTCAGAAAATATCGACAGACTTTTAAAGTGAGATATCCAAAAAGGCATGGCACGTGGAATTAGAACAATCTACCCCTGTAGATAAAAGCGTCGGTTGAACAAATCCGGTGACTAGACCCAAAGATTTGTCAGTTCAATACCTGGCCACATCAGAGATGAACAAAATCGGGGAGAGTTGAGTTTCTAATGGTAAATAACTGAAACGGAGATATCCAACAAAGGCATGGCACGTGGAACTACAACTCCGTGAACTAAATAAAGGGTTTGGTTAGAATTTCCAACGTATATCAAGAAAGTTTAATATCTGAACAGCGGTGGTTAATCTAATCCTAAATCATCTTTAATCTCATTTTTGTAGTAGTTGCTTAGCTCCAACTTTTAACTCGGTTGATACCTTTCGAACATCCTAAAAAATATTTAATTTGGCCAATTCTTACAGACTCGTAGACATATATAATTAGAATCGTTAAATCCTGAGGGGAAAAAAATCCCGTGTTTTTCGTTTTTCTCTTAAAGACCGGTTGAAAAAAATATCTCATTTTAGAGAACCCCCTACAGTCACTGGAAGAGGCCCAGTAATTAGATATCCCTCCTACTAAGTTTTTCGTGTCATCGAGCTTCATTTTATTTCCTCTTTTTAATTATATATATATATATATATATATATATATATATATATATATATATATATATTGGCTATGAAAGGACAGGTTGCATTGTTGGAAGCCTGTTGTGTTATCTCTTGGTTCTGTCAAATTAGCTAATATCAAAATGGCATATAGGTATTTAGTCACACAATAATATACTTTTTTTTCTTTTAATTCTTTTAATTCAGTCATTATCATGTTTTTTAATCAATTCACTCCAAGCAAGGCGATAAAGCCACTAAGACGCAAGAGGCTATTGAGAGAGAAAGAGGATGAAAGATTAGATGGAACTAGAAACCCAATACTGAGCAAGGGATAAATCTCTTCTGTTCAAAAAGGCTGAAAGATGTGTGAACCGGACGATAAGTAAACTTATCTTGTCTATAAATGTTATAGGAACTTACCTATAACGATAATGGACTCTTCCCGACACTATAAATACTGCGCCTCTCAAGAGGTATAATGAATGAATGGTGTAACGAGCACCAGTTCATGACTGTTGAACTCTCTGCTTTGGCAGAGAGGAACCCGGACGAAGCTTTGCCGAAGGGCAAGGTTTCGTCCGGGGAGGTAGACAGGCCCTGAACCCGTCTAGGCGGGTTCAAAGGGTATATTTTTGGCCGAGCCTACGGGCTCGGAGAAACTCACTTTAATCTCGGCCTCGTGCCACATATATTCCTCGTGGGTGGGATATTAAATACAATGAAGGGTTTAACGAGTCAAGACAATATTAGTTCACTCTAAACCAGACGGACAGTCATTACTAACACCTTCAACTTCTTGTACTATATTTCTGTTGTAATATATCTTTGTTATTCTATTCTTGTGTTCGTGTTGTTCTTCCTTGCTTCTAAGCTTGGACTATAACTTGGGTGCGAGGATATTGGACTATAACAATAAATAAATGCGAATGTCAGTGTGTCACACTTTTTCAACTTTACACCTTGAGGCTGGAACCCAACATATCATGCCATTTTAGAATCGGGCCGAGTCCGTGAGCAAATTAAAATCATTCCGGGTCGGATCCGGACCCGCAATTCTGAAATTTTGGATTCCCAAGTTTTTAATTACTTCGATTGTTTTCGGCGATTTTTTTATGTGATTTTTTCCAATAATCTTTTTGTACGATAACAATTTTTATAATTTATAAATAAATTTGGGAATAATTGAAATGATTTGCGAAGTCCAGCGAAAATCACACATGAAATAAAAATAACTTTACGGAAAGTAAGGACCTACGTACATCAAATTGTTTTTTAATTTAAAATGGCGTCAGAAGAATTATTGTTGAACTTTTAAAAGGTAATCATAAATATTGATGTAATACTTAAATGAAGCGAACAATTTTGAGTTCTTCTATAGTTTATTGTTGCCTATCGCGTACGACAGCAGTAATGCCTCGCGAAAAGAAATCTCCGTCAACAGATGACCAGATTGCAATCACAAGAGCGAGGAAAAGAAAGTTCCGTCCAAATGAAAACCCAGATCAAACGCCAGCCAGGAGAGCTTCCAATGCTGAGAACATTAAAAGACTTAGGGTCTCTCGAACTCTTGAACAAGCCGAAGGCCCAAAAAAGGTATCCTCCGCAGGAGCTAGCTTAAATGTCGCCCGAGAAAGCAGCTTTTAAACTAGTTATGCTCTAAAACCACGCATTGAAAAAAGGTTAAAAGAAGAGATTTATTTAAACATTAATCCTAGTTGTCAGCAATAGAGACAACTCAAGATGAGCAAACTGCGACCCGCGGACCACAGGCGGCCCGATTGGTATTCTGAATGACACACCTAATTTAAAGAGCAAAATAACGTTATTAAAATGTTTATTTCCTTTCCTTCTCACTTCTTTCTCTCTCTTTCTCTCTCTCTCTCTTTCTCTCTCTCTCTTTTCTCTCTCTCTCTCTCTCTCTCTCACTCTCTCATAGTGTTGAAACTTGACTAATGCATGGAATAATAATGCAACACAAAATGTACTTAGAACAAAATGTATTGAAACAAGAAAGTGTACACAATATTTACATATAGTCTTTTGTATATTCCTGGTAAGACCGTTCCTGGAGAATGTGTTGACTGAGTCGCAGTCGGGCAGAGTCTCTGGATTGAATCTCTTGATTCCTCCCCTCTCTTCCCGGTACCAACCATATTTATATGGTCGGTACTCCACTATGCAAATTAGGTGGATCCTACCACAACACATAGCCACACACATAAACAATGATTAAGTACAAT